AATTTATTGGGTGACTGTTAAGATACCTTCGATCAAAGTTTTAAAAAAGCGTGTGATCTATAATGCGGATCGTCCTTCGGATCCAGGTCAGAAATGATCGACAATTTCACGTGACCCGTAAAAAGGGGTCGCCCTGGCAGATTCTAAATATATATGCAAAGTAAACGCGATTATGTATACAAATCAGCCACCAGGGCCAGCTTTATTGATATGATAAGAAAAGTAAAAAAAAATATATACAATGGATTAATCAATGATAAGAAAAAAACTATATACAATAGATTAAACAAATTCATGGCAAGAGGGAGAAGGTATAAGGTTCGTTATGTAACCTATCAAGAACCGCATTGATCAAATATTTGGGCAATCGGTCTACATCTGTCACAATGATGGGATATGTAGGTAGTTGTTCCAATGGATCCAATAGTTCTGATGGTTCCAGTGGTTCTGCTATCTCTAGTGCTGCATCTATTGCACCAGGAGTAAAGCTATCCATAGAGAGACCTCTATTATACCAATGGTCCTTTTTGGTTGCTTAGTTCGAGTGAGCACACCAAGCAACTCATCTACAACCGGGTGACCTGTGAATATATTTAATATTATTAATTGAATTTTATTTTTTTCTTGCAAGCTCAAAAAAAAGATATATAGTTAACTGCCAAATATATATAGCTAAAAATTTGTTGACTAACTATATCTGGCTTCGAGCAAGTATTGCGAGAAGGCAGGCCCAAACATCTGATTTAATATAATAATAATACCTATATTGAGTCTGATCCAATTTTTATATTGGATAATAAATCGTGTCGTGGCAGTTTCACATATAATATCGATGTCACCATCACCTGATCTCCTAAATTAAAATAAAATATAAATACTTGCATCATAATTATCAACTAACCAAAGAAGTTGCACAGGCGGAATAGTCAATGACAGTGCTTTCTATGTTAGAGTGTATCCTATTCATCATGAATTCCCAGTGCCTAAGCATCTCAGAAACATCGAAAACTAGAAAGAAAGAACGTTTATTGCTAAAACAGTGGCCACGATGTGCTTTCAATTTCTTACTAGATATTTACACCGATGTGAAAGCGTAACTTCGAATACACAACAACTTAACAAATAACTCAATGAGAAACTCACCCTTTATAGATAACTTTAGCACCAATGCTCTTTAGCATTTCAACAAGATCCACTTCGAATATTAATCCTTTTATATAAGGTGATTCTTCGATTACTACAGCAAGAGCGACAGACTCCCCCTCAATACGAAGAAATTCTTCAACTTCAAAATTCATCTTTATTTTTTTTTTTAAAAAAAAATTAATTGAAAGTGATAAAAAAAATAAAACAGAATCAATATTTTCACTATACTGCCCTTTATAAATGGGTTTCGCTTGTCTCTGAATGGTAGTATAAAGGGAGGGTTAACAAAGAAAAAACCTTATATGTACTTTACACCAATCTTTACACTTGACATTACATTATGTTTGTCATAGGGTACCCCTAGACATGCAGAATGTGTATTGGAGATCTCAACATCTTTAGCATTACGGCGTAGAGAAAGATCCCTATATATTATACTTCGCCTGACCACCTAGTAAAGCCTTTATTTTTTATTATAAAGACTATAAAAGCGGAAATATATATGTTTTGGTTAGAATGAATAAATTTTTGTACTGGCTTTGGAGTAGATCTAAAGCTTGGATATTATTTTTTCTATGAATGTTTGTAAATAAAATTCAAAAAAATTCGTATAAAGATTTGGTTGCACAGGTAACATATGTGTCATGAGATTGTTGACCTAATTTGGGTTAGGGTACTATTTCGAGAAAAACTTAAAAATGGTACTTTTTACTCGTTCCACATGAGTTATGCATAATGATAAGCCTTGTAAGGTATTATAGTACAGATAAATTTATATGTATGTGAAATTTATTCTAACACGTTATCGCATTCACATTGCTTATATATTCCATTCGCTACTTTTTTGCATGTTTTGCAATATAGGTGTGAATAGTGATTGCATTCGTCATAAACCCCTATTTTCTCATAAATTTATTTCACAAGACAGCTAAATATCTGATAGTAGAGTCTGGACACCGTGTCCGGGCTCGTCAAAATTGCGCAGAAAAATAAATAAATTACATGGCGCAGTAGACAGCAAATTAGTCATCAAAATCTTATTGGAAGTAGCAAATTATTTTCTGTAACGTTACATTATATTATATTTGGTAGTGATTACTTTAAAATAAAATCCGATATGGGGAATGCTTTATTAATATATGTTTAAAAATGCATGTGCAAAAAAATATATTATTTTTCTATAGTAGAGTCTGGACAAGCTTGTCTGAGCTCGTCAAAATTGAGCAGAAGCTGGATCAGCATCCGGTTAAATTTATCTCCCGAAATCTATATTTTCCTGATAGACATGCATATAAGCTCAAGTTAAATTTATCTCCCGAAATAACTGTGCATTTATGACTAGATTATTTTTTTGATGGTAGAGTC